TAAACAGTGATAATCAGTAGGTGTCGTGGTTGTACAGTGAAGGTGATGAATTACAGGAATAAATGTGTGATCAACATCGCTGTGGCTCACTGCCAAAATGGGAGTGGGCGAGGGGCAGAGGCGCTGGGGCGCAGGGAGGGGTATAAAAAAAGACAGTGGAGAAGTGAGTGGACGCAGAGAGAAGAAGAGAGGGAGGGAAGACGAGGGATGTGAGGAAGAACAGCAGACTGAGAGAGTGAAGGGCCAAACCAGACTAAATAACAGGATAGTGCAACAAAAGAAGGTAAGAAAAAAAAAATACTGGACACTGGAATTTTTGATGTAAATCTTTTTTATTAACTTCTCTATCTATTTCTATTTATCTCTATATCTATTTTTTCTTTGGAGTCACATCATGACTTTTCTTTGTTCAGGTAAAGAAACATGTTTTAATTTGCTGTTTAAAACGAGTGTGTCTGTGTAAGACTTTTGCTTGTAAACTGAGGATGTTTTTTTTTTTTTTTTTGCCAGTGTTTTGTCAGTAAATGTAGAAATGTTTGACTGTTCCCTCGACATTTGGTGATGGATTACACAGATGTGTAATCTGAGTGAGCGGGGGGGCTCGGTCATAGCATGTTGTTTTAAACTTAAAAAAAAGAGACATTTTTAGACAACGTTTATCATTCAAATCTACAAAAGTGTGTTTTTTAATCCGGCTGTACACAAATGATCAAATAGATCCCCCCTTTTCACAAATGTGTGATCTGACTTTTCAACAGGAATTTGCGTTGTTAGGCTTTTGGAGTTCCGGGTGTGAAACACTCATTACTAAAGGTGAAAGGTCAAGGGTCAAATGTGGCACCAGAGAATGAAAATGTCACCAAGGCAACTTCTCCTCATCCTGGGAATCACTGCAGCCGCCGTGTCTGCTCAAGGTGAGTCTCTGACAGATGATTGGACTCCTGTTTCTGGTCTTCACACCCTGGTATGTGTCTACTAAAAATACCTCACCTTCTCCAAAACAATATGCACATATTTTAAGTAAACGCCAGCTGAAAAGATTTCACGGTCAAAATGGAATTTAGTTTTGATGTTCTGCAGAGGAAAGTTTATTTATATGCAGGTTTTGGGCAGATTCATGCCTAAAATCAAATGATCGCTGATTTTATTTTTACATGCAGTATTTATTTTATAAATGTTTGAAAACGTAGCCCATTATTTCTATAGACATAAACACTACACTGCCTTCACTGTAGGGGGCGCTATGAAGGCAGTCGTCATTATTTGGTTTACGATCCTGCTGATCACCTAAACTTGTATTTCTTTTCCCCTTGGCTTTTGATGGAGCTCTGACTTTATTGGGGTTTTATTACTGCCATCTGGTGGATATATTCTCTACTGGTTCGACACAATGAATAAATATTCATGTTTATTCAAAATAGATGCCTTATTTTAATGGGTGGTATTTTCATACATCCTATTCCTTATTTTGAGGATGTTCCTTCATGTCATAATTTGAGAGCCCTTATCTGTCTTGCTCCAATGAGTATTTTAAAAGGCATTAAATCAAAATAAAAACAAGGTAAGTGGTATTACACATGGCAGTATTGTATCAGAACCCTTTTATGGAAAAAATACTTATTTAAATGTTTAAAAATCATTGTTTTTGTAACAGCTAGCAAACTTGTGAGACTAAATACACATTGACCCTTCTCTGTTGCAGGGCCTTGGAGAAGAGACAACAGAGAGTCCGGTCCTGTTGAGGGTAATGACTGTTTTTCAAGTGTAAAAATCATAAAAACATAAATATAAACATGACTACAGAGAGTTTCATGTGACTTTTTTTTCCCTGTGTATCATTGTTTCTAGAAAACCACGAGTGGACTACATGGTTCAATGTTGACCACCCTGGTGGTTATGGAGACTATGAACAGTTGGAGGCCATCCGATTCTATTACCGTGCGAGAGTGTGTGAGACTCCACGGGCCATTGAAGCCAGAACCACTGAATGGATCCCAGCCCGTGAGACCGGGGAGACGGTCCATGCAGACCCCTCAGTGGGGTTCTGGTGCCTGAATGAGGAGCAAGGTCCAGATCGTAACTGCTCTAACTATGCGGTCCGCTTCCTCTGTCCTAAAGGTTTGCTCCTTCTTTCCTGAGACTACATTTACAAACTTTTTCTTTTCCATTTTTTGATGCCTTCATAATTATTTATGTTTTTTTATACAGATTTTACTGTGAACATTCAGGCTACGTGGGGCCAGTGGTCAGACTGGACGCCCTGCCCCGCTGCCTGTGACCAGGTGGGTGTCCAAATACGTACCAGAGACTGCCTTTCTCATTCTGTGCCTTGCATTGGACCCAAAGTTGAACAGAGGGCGTGCAGTGGACCTGAGTGTCCGACATCAGGTGAGTTTGTCTCATTTTAGTCTTTAATATTGGAGGGGGGACCTGTGAATTATTAAACAGTTTTTCTAACTCTCCCGTTCAGGTTGTTCGCTTCACTGTGTCATAGGCAGAGCGAATGCTGAGTGCGATGCATGCATGTGTGAAGAGCACATCCTGCTGGGCTCTGTTCGTGGTGCAGGAGGTCTTTCTGCTGAAGGAGCTGCCATCCTACGTAACGGCAAGCTCCTCACCCTGACAGACCACAACGGACACTTCCGTATCCCTGGCGTCTGCCCTGATGGAAACACCACACTGACCATCAGCCTGCAGGGTCACTCCCCCCTCACAGCTGTGGTGCCAGTCAGCATGGAACACACCTCTGTGCTCAGTGTTCAGATGAAAAGAATAGGTGCAGATGAGATCTATGAGTTTAAACGGTTACGATTTACAAAAATAAAACCATACGTTACTATGAAGTAAAATTGTAATTTTGTCTTTTCAGAGAAACTTCATGTACTGAACAACCCTGAGAGCAAGTCCAGGGTAGAGGGTCAAACTGCTGCCTTCTGCTGCAAGGTGACAGGAGCACCACCACCAGACAACTACCAATGGTAGGGTGGAAACAACCAGACCATAATTACTTTGATATAAAATGAAATGATGCGAACGTTTCCACGCTCTGTGATTTATCATGTGGGAAAATACAGGTTTCATAACAACACTCTCCTGGAGAGGAAAACAGAAACTACTTTGGTCCTAAAAGATCTACGACCTGAGCAGGCTGGTGAATATTACTGCAGAGCAAGTGGACCATCAGGAGCTATCAAGACCAAACCAGCAACACTTAAAGTCATTGGTAAGTAAACCGCTGCACCCAAGGCTCAACATGCAATATACTGCATTTTACTGCATTGTAAAACCTGGTGGACTCTCACGACTCTCACGAGTATTCAGGTGAAAAATAGAGCAGGTTGACTTCATTTTGTAGTTTTATCTTTGCTCACAGAATCTATTTTAAAAATACCAAAACATAATCACAGTACTACACTTCTTTAAAGCAAAGGCCAAAGTATCTTTGTAGGTTATTATTATTTTGTTCATATTTAAAATTGGTCATCTCTCAGCCGTGACAACACATTTACAACACAACAGTTCATATCAGTTTATTGGATTAGGAATGATTACACCAAACAATCAAATTCTAGTCCATAAATGAGACATATTTCAAGATATGTGTGAATAAACTGTCAAACATACTCAGCGTTTCATCTCTGCATCTCAAACACAGGTAAAAATGAGCCATCATGTAAACCACAGCCCGATTCCCACCTCATCCGTCTGCCCCACGACTGCTACCAAAACAGCACAGACTCCTTCTACTACGACGTGGGCAAATGTCCTACAACCATTTGCGTTGGACAACTGGACAACGGTATCAGGTGCAAGGACAAAATTTCCTACTGCTGCGGTGTAGAGACGATGGAAAAGAGGCAGGTCACGTGCCAAGGCTACCAGCTGCCCACCATGGTGGTGACCAAGTGTGGCTGTCAGAAATGTGTAGACACCAAGACTATTGTCCACGGTAGGGCCATTGCTGCAGATAACGGTGAGCCAATGAGGTTTGGACACATCTTCATGAACGGAGTCCGAATCAGCCGCACGGGGTATAAGGGTACCTTCTCTGTCCAAGTTCCCCCAGACACAGAGAGACTCGTACTTACCTTTGTAGACAACATGCAGAAATTCGTCAACACTACCAAGGTTCTTCCATTTCATACCAAAGGAGGAGCAGTTTACCATGAGATCAAACTTCTAAGGAAGAAAGCCCCGATCACGATCAGTTCCACAGACACCAACATGTTGGAACTTGGAGAGGTGGAGGGTCAGGAGGCAATGGTGCAGATCCAGATACCCCCCAATTCCTTTTACAAGGAAAATGGAGAAGTCTTTGTGGGCAACGTCAATGCCAGTGTGACATTTCTTGACCCAAGAAATGTCTCCACAGCTGCTGCAGCCCAGAGTGATCTCAACTATGTGGGGAATGAAGGAGATACTCTGCCACTGAGAACCTATGGCATGTTTTCAGTAGACTTCAGGGGTGAGGAAAACAACGAACCCCTAAATGCAGGTGAAGTGAAAGTGTTCCTTGATTCTGCTCAGGTGAAGATGTCCGAGCATCTCAACACCATGAAACTGTGGTCACTCAACCCAGACACTGGTCTGTGGGAGGAGGAGGGAAGTCTTCAGATGGAGAAAAAAAGAAGAGGGAAAAGGGAGGAGAGAACGTTTCTGATTGGTAACATGGAGATCAGAGAGAGAAGGTTGTTCAATTTGGATGTCCCAGAGAATCGCAGATGTTATGTGAAGGTGAGGGCATTCCGCAGTGAGCGCTTTATGCCCAGTGAGCAAGTTGAGGGAGTTGTGGTGAGTCTTATCAACATGGAGCCCTCACCCGGATATTCCTCTAACCCTCGGGCATGGGGACGATTTGATAGTGTGGTCACAGGGTCTAATGGTGCCTGTCTTCCTGCTTTTTGCGATGAACAAAAAGCCGATGCATATACAGCACATGTCATGGCCAACCTTGGAGGGGAGGAGCTGGAAGCTGTGGCTTCTACTCCCAAGCTAAATCCTAACCTAATTGGAGTTCCGCAGCCTTACCTTGGTAAACTCAACTACAGAAGGTCCGATCATGAAGACCCCAGGGTGAAGAAAACGTCCCTCAGCATTAATGTTGCAAAACCCAGCCCCAATGCAGCTGAGGAAGGCAACGGACCAGTGTACCCATTTGAGAAGTTGAAGGACTGTGAGGAGGCCCAATTCAGTGCAGCACACTTCCGTTTCTCTAGAGTCGAAGGTGATCGATACGATTACAACACGGTACCATTCAACGAAGATGCTCCAATGAGCTGGACAGAGGACTACCTCAGCTGGTGGCCCAAGCCCATGGAATATCGAGCCTGTTACATTAAAGTCAAAATCAATAGCCCACATGAAATCAACGTAAGATCCAGAAACATGGGTGGAACTCATCCCAAGACAGTGGGGCAACTCTACGGGCTCCGAGACACTCGCAGCATTCGTGACATGGACCAGAACACTGTATCAGCTGTTTGCTTGGAATTTAAATGCAGTGGGATGTTGTACGACCAGGAGCGTGTAGACCGAACCCTGGTCAAGGTGATCCCACAGGGGAGCTGCAAGAGAGACCATGTGAACACAATGCTTCAGGAGTATTTGGTCAACCATTTGCCCCTGGCTGTCAACAATGACACCAATGAGTTCACAATGCTTGCACCTCTTGACCCCCTCGGTCATAACTATGGAATTTACACAGTAACTGACCAGGATCCCCGTACAGCTAAAGAGATCGCACTTGGTCGCTGCTTTGACGGCACCTCTGACAGTACATCCCGTGTCATGAAGAGCAACGACGGTGTAGCTCTCTCTTTCACCTGTGGAGATCGTGAAGTGTCACAGCAGAGTGTCTTCCAGGCTCTGCAAAATTCTCAAGGCCAGGGATCAGTCAGCGTGGTTAGAGGAGAAGGCAGACAGAACCGTAACAGGCCAAAGCCCAACGCTCCACGAAGCAGCAGCAGACGTAGCACCAGAAACCCAGCGGGAAAACGCAGGAAAAACAAAAACTGAACACTGCTGATCAACATGCAGATTAGAGGGAACCATTACACTTCACTTCGAATTGAGTGAATATATAACTAAGCAGAGCCTGTTTTCACAGCTTCTTGGCCATGAGTTGTTGCATTATTGCCCAAGTGTTCATATTTACTTGAAAGTGTAAATAGAGTATTTATTACACATGCTTTGAAAAGCTAATCAATAAGATGTTGTGTTGTTACACAACGCTCACCATGTTATAAACAAAAACAGAAACAACTTATATTTTGACCAGTGATTTATTAAATTAGATGCTTATAAAACACTGCAGATGCTGTATTTCCCACATTGTACTGTATCCAACTGCCTGTGTAACAATAAAACTGGTCAAGTGTTAGAAAAGAAAAGGAGAAACTTGTCCCTTTCAATTAACTGTAGCCCAAAAGAAGACATGGTGGGGAGAAGCCTGTGAACACCAGCTCCTCATCACTTGATACAAGCCTGCAGAAGCAATGATTAGGAGACCAGTAGGAACAAGTGAATCCACTTGCCTGATCAATACTTATTTTCTGCATTAGTACAAATCATATTAGTAAATTGCATTTTCTTATGCATGAAACACATCTTTAAGCAATCTTTGCTCCAATTCTTCAAGGATATTCCAGAGATGTATCAAGAGGATGGCTGTGAATTCATTTAATTTATTCATTTGATTTATTATCACCTTATTATCAATCCCTTTATCTAAACAATGGTGTGATCGCCTGTGAAATTACAACTAAATTAAATGATGCATCCAACTTTTTCCAACCTTCCAGAGATAAAAATGACCGATGTAATGAATAACTGTCCTGCACTTGGCAACCAGTTATAGACACTATACTTTACTGTAAAGAACCATCCACAGGTAAGCAATACCTATAGTATGTAGATGACAGGTCTGGTGAAAGAATTTGCATAGAACCCTCTGTTTCTATGTCAGTACACTCACACCTGCAACATTATATATATATATATCAATATGCAATATTGACAGGAGTGCACTTTAATTAAAAGAGCCTCAAAAAGGAGTGCACTTTAATTAAAAGAGCCTCACAAAACTCAGAGCAGTTGTTTCCTCCATTGAAAAGTATCAAATAATTACTGGTGAGGGGAAGCGGATTGAGAGGAGAGAAAGAGAAAGGCTATTTCCTGTGTAATGTGAACGTAATAGGGTTGTGAGACTTGATGCTCCCTGGTATAGTCCCTCTGGCTATTGAAGCAAAGTGATGGGGCAGGGGAGGACAACACATTGTTCAAATTTTCCAGGATGGCACTGGACAGCATGAGAAGGTACAGCTGGACTCCTCTGGGTTTGGAGAAGGAAAGGGTCGTAGTGACGAAGCCAGTGTCACATGAAGTCCTCATAGTCTTGGGCGTAGCCACCGTCAAACTCTGCATAGTCAAGGTCGTCCCTCAACTGTGCTTTCAACCCACCACCAGCTACGACGCCTTTCTTCTTTTTCTTTCCTTTGTTTTGCTGAGTAAACAAAGTCACACAACATTACATTTTATATATATATAAAAACATTAACTTGATATAAATGTAATAAACCTCACTTGACTGAAAAAGACACTGCATTGTTGAAGAAGTATACTCATTACAAAAGCCACAGAAATGTAGTTTTTTTTTTTAACAATTGGGGAAAAAAAGAAAACATTGAGAGGTGGAGAGCACCCCCTACTGACGATAATTTACCCCACCCTAAAGTCTAACAAAGAATGTACTCACTTTTTCTTGTTTCTGTTTTTCACTTAGAAGAATTGAAAGGGAATTACTGACTTTCTTCAAATCATCTACTTCCACTGCAAAAAAGCAAACACAAAGTCAACCAAGTTGTCCAAACCTACCTATGACTAAAATCATGTAGTCAAGAGCACTGCTGGATTACAAAGTGACGAGCTGATGTACTCACATGAAATACAGAGCTCCCGAAACAAAGAATCCAAGAAACTTGAATAATGAACCGATTTTTCATACTGACAAATCTTTTCTTTCAACAATTTTTCAAACTCTGTGAAATCTTCTTTGGATGAGGGACACATGGCATCGATTCCTGTGACAGTGGTGACACCTGGGTAACAAAGCAACAACAAATATCTTTATCATACACAGACTTGCAGGGAGGGTGTTCAAAAACTTCAGTTTCTTCTATTATTGCAGTGAGTACTACCACAAATGTCCACAATGTATAGAAGTTGTTCTTTTTTTAGAAATTTTCATTTAGTCAGGCATATTTAGCATTAAGCACTTTGTTTACCACTTCAGTGATACATTAAAAGATAGAATTTTATGACTTACATAAAGTATTATTAGTTTTAAATTAGAAGACCAGTTGTAAATTTAAGGTAAGCAACAACCGTGTGCAACAATCTGGCTTTTCTTGCATAAAAGAAATCTGCATATTATAGGGAAATACGTTTTTCCTTTAAGACTTTTTAATCCAACATATCTATGCACAGGAAGTATATTGTGTGTGAATGTGTTTTTAACAATATCCCTGTGTTAATATCAAACTACTTTCTTTCTAATGATCAAATAATTTCCTAGATATGCCAAATAAACTACACTGGTTATGAACAGTGGTTATGAAGAAAAAAAGCTGAAATATTTCTACATACATAAAGAAACACTGCAGAATGAAATAACCCAAGTGATACATTTAATTTCATGTTCACAGATAAAAAAAGTAAAGTGATACATTTAATTTCATGTTCACAAATAAAAAAAGTATAAATAATATTAATTTGCTTCGAAAAGTGGATTTGTTTTTACCAAAGGCGTCTTTTGCCAACTCCAAATCTGCAGCTTCTTGTAATTTCTGCACCCTTAACTTCTCTTCAAGCTCTTGTTCAGGGGTGAGTTCTTCTTCCTGTAACAAAATGACACAAAATCAATTTAAATGAGGACAAACATTATAAGAAAAAATGGTCATGTGCTTTAGAAAAACGCTCACTTTGTCCTCTAGCTCTTTCTCCTTCACTTCCTGTTGTTTTTTCTTTAACCGATTTTCTTTCTCTTTGATCTTCTCACTCAACTTTTTCTTTTCGGAAACTTTTGTCTCTGCAAAAAAGAAATGGAAAAACACATTTATTTTTATCAAGAATTTATTTGGAACTGCTATTTACAGATACAGTATTTCATTATACAAATATACACACATACCAATTTTTTTCACCTCTGTTTTTTTCTCCTCCTCTTCATCCTCATCATCCCAGTTATCCTAAAAATAAAGAAAATTGTTTTGGGTTCACTACAAGCTAGAATATCTTAAGAACATTAACACATGAATTACGCAGCCTAAAATCCTCTTACTAATGAGTAAAATACCTTAAAAACACAAGACTGTTGGAAAATTCCATGTCCATGAAGATTCAGAAATATCTCAACTTGAAAAGACCTATCATCTTCTAGTTAGCGATCATGACTGACTACAGCTGATTAAATGCTGACCTTCAAGGGAAGACATCCTACTGACGACTAATATGAATTTGACAACCTCCTTCCTGTTCTCAGTGGCTGGCCCCATTAACAGTACCCGTGTTTGTGTCATTCATTGCTCCATCTCTGACATTAGTCAGATTAAAATCTGTTTAGTCTGAGGCTGCTGTGAAAAACATCAGATATGTATCTAATAAGGAATGTGGCTTGGGTCTGACATGATGATGTGCAAATGTAAAGATGTTCATTTTAAAATAAAACAACCAATAGATTGACTAAAACAAGCACTCAGGTAGGAGGTGAAAGGGGGCCACCCAGCAGAACACAATTTCCAGCTTTTTTTAAGCTGTTCTGTGAGCTCTCCTTGAAAGTAACTGTGGTGTTTTCTTTGCCCTGCATTTTTCTTAAATTTACCTTTAACTTAAATATTTTGATACAAACTAGCACTCTTACAATACACATTAAATTAAAAAAGGAATCAAAGAAATGCAACACACTTGTCTTGCTTCTGTGTTTTCGTTCAACTTCCAGTTCTAGAGCCAGAAAAAGTCATACAAGTCAGAGAAAACTCAGCAAACGGATGAATGAGAGGGCATGTGTATCAACACTAACAATTTCAGTAAATATGTGCACTCAAAAGAAAAACAATCTAATGTTTAGGGACACTTTTTGTGGAAACTCACTGTCAACAAGTAATTTTGCTTTTTTTAACCCAATATCAAGTAGATTTTGATTTCCTATTTTCCTCAAAAAACAGCCATTCCAAACTGATGATTTCAACTGCCAATCAGCTAATAGTGAAAGCCTTGGATGTGAGTAACACTAAGCTTTGCCAACAGAGTGAACTGTCTCCAGGACAATTGTAGATTTACAAAAATTGGAAAAGTCTCTTAGGTGTTGGCTTTTTGATTTTATTGTTTTCAAATATACAGTATATGTATTATATTATTTTTGTAAATTCTACCTATTTCCCTAGATATTAAAGCCATCTAATAATTGTAACTTCCAAGTTCTCTGGGATCAAATAAATGTACATTGGTACAACTTATTGGACGTGTAACCACTTTGAGAAGGCAAGAAGAATCCAAATAGTCACACTATGATAACAACAATTTGGTTAGAATGTTCATTAACCTCTCAAAAATTACAGAGGAGAGGTTGCCATGAACTGGAAGTTGCTAGAACGTCAGTCCCATTGTGCACAAGACAGTGAGTTGCCTCTGACAGAGCATGTTGCCCAAGGGAACAGTTCCTGCTACAAAAAGGCAACATCTTTTAAGCTAAATTGCAATTTGCAGACTACATTAATAAGACGCGTACCTTATGAAGAAAATGTGTATGACCAAATGACAGTACAATAGAAAGAATTTGTAGAGGAGTGAAATCAAGACTTTAAAACTTAACACCAAGTGGTTGTTTACAGTGGTTTTAGTATACATGCTAAACTTTTAAAAAACCTTCCAAAAGGCTGACATCAACAGATTTGAAAATTTGAGTAATACATTTAAAAGACACTTAAATGTACCTCATCAAGCCAAATTATGCCACAAGATTGATGTTGGCAACAAAAAGTTAGTAAAGTCAATAAAACTCTTGTCTGCAAATAGAAGGTTATTATATCTAGAGCATTGCAGATTATGTAGAAAACATTATATTGTTCTGCCTAAACTGTTTTGATTGCGGTTGACAGCCTTATACACATCAGCAGTTAATAAAAATATGTGCACTTGTTACTCTATAAATCATTTAATACCTAAACGACGCAAAACATTATACTTTCCAAATACATTTTTCTAAATGTTTAAAGCATATTTACATTACTCAAAAAGATTGCAGAGGATTGACTTATGTATAGGCATGCTATAATTACAAATCAAGTCTCTTAGGAATACACGTTTAATTAGAGCAATTGGGATCTTTTTAACTGACAACATGAAATCACTACTTTCTTTCTTTATCATACCCATGTTACAAAAACCTTAAAGACCTTTACCAGCACATTCCCTGTCCCAGCTACCTGGGGTTTCTAGACAGTGTGTCCACATTCAGGTTTTAAAACCATAGGTAAAACAAAAATGATCTAAACCCATCTCTTGCAAAATACCTGCTGTAAACTAGAAACTTCTAGGCCTTGTTCTCGACTCCGTTGAGTCATCATCAAACTAGATGATTTCATCCGAGTGTGGCTAAACTTGTTAGCAGGCTAAATACACCGCATGGAGTAACCAAACTATGGGGATTTGGGCTAAAACGCATGTGATACTGCCATGAAATAATTATAATCAATGTTAGAGAGCGCTTAAAAACATTACGAATTAACGTAATTAATGTTATTTCGTTGTTGTTATTTTTATACCCTGACAAGATAGCGATTTTGTTAGCTCAGGCAGACGGTAGCTTCAAGCTAAGCTGTTCAAACCTCGCCACCAAAACAGCTTTTAAATAAACACAATGATTTAGTTTTACGTTGATGCCACTTATGAATAATTAAATCAATAAAATAATGATTTTGTTTAGCGAAATAGCTTAGCTATGGAAACTTTAGATTCCTAAGCTGTGGTATTTCGCTGGGGTAGCAGCTGGAGCATTCCTAGCTGCCCGACAGTGCCACACGAGTTAGCCACCAGCTAACACAGCGCTAGCAGGAGCTGGAGAATTGACAAGCAAACGAACGCATGGGCAACCAAAGCCGGGGAAACAAGCCCGGCTATAGCCACTGTTAGCTCGTAGCTCACGAGAGAAGACTCGCGGCCCCTTAAGCAAGACAAATGGTAACTCGACCACTAAAATGAATCTGCGTTTCTCACAAACACAAGCACACACACTATTTTTTCTACCTTAACATCTTCCTCCTCGTCTTCTCCTTCCCATTTGTCCTGCCCTGCCGCCTTTTTAATCGGCTCGTCTGGCTCAAAGCTGTCCGCGTCTATAAAAACGACAACATGAAAATTGTTAAACTAATACTCATCTTGGAAGAGTGTCTGTCAGAACACATATTATTCAGTTGACACATTCGTGGAGAGTGTGGTAGAGCAGCCAGTGTACAAACACAAATGCTCTCAAACTTAGTTCTCTTACCCCAGTCCGCCATGTTGGCTGTGTTGCTTGTGTTTGACAGTGGAGTCAGCGATGCAGCCGGCGACCACGCTCGGAAACGGCTCCCAGTGTCTGCACGTCACTATCGACTTATCGAACGTCCTCGGCACGCTCCTCGATTACTTCAATTCACACAGAGAAATTGAGTATTCGGTTTTAAACCCACGCAGGTTTAAAACTGGTTGTCATAATGTAGATGAGTTGACAATCTACATGATACCCGTTCAGGTGTTTCAAGTGGTGGGGTGTTAATTCAAAGAGGGTCGCAAAAATAAATATAGTAGTAACGAAACTGGACTGTAAACAATTTGAATTTCTTGCCAGATCTATAAGGACGTCAATAAGGAAAGTACGACAGCAATCTGAATCTTTGTCGATTTCATCAGAATGATCAATTCTAATGCTGTTTTTAGTTAGCTTTGGTAAACTTGGAAATTCATTTTATTCTGAGTGAGGGTGTACAAAGTTAGGATGATGAAAAAAAAGTCAAAGTTGAGCAGGTGTTAAAGGAAAATGAGGGATTATTCTACCTTAAATGAAGAGCCACATAATTATTTGAAACACACAATAGGAAAGACAGGTTTGGCCAAACATGTCATGTGATACACAAGTCAGGATCTAAAATCAAAAACTATGACTGAGACTGTCTGACAAGCTCTTGCCTTTGTGTTGTTTCCTTTCCTTATTGTTTTCATAGGTGTGACATAATAATTAACATAATCTGCTGGTTATTTTTGAATAAGCAGATCTTTGAACATTGAGCATATGTTATACATTTACCGAGCTCGGTCAATGTAAACCTACAAAACTGATTCTCTAAAAACCCTAAAATCTAATTATAATAATATTATAATATTGAATTAAAAATGTTTTTACCTGAGTCTTCAGTGAGTACCTCTAAGTTTTTGGTAGGAAATAAAACAGGCTCTTTTTCTTTGTTGTTTTGTGAAAGTTGGCTTCCATAGTGTTGCTGCTAATCTTTGGTGTTTTAAACAGTCTGTTAGGTTGCGGTGCTCTGGTCCAGTTTCTCTAAGCAAATAGTTTGTCGTGATGATGAAAGGCAGGCAAATGTCAAATGATTAAACACTACGAACCAAAGATCAAAGACACAGTCATTTTCCTAACATTAGCACATCTTGTACCAACACTCTCTCTTTACAGTATGCTCTAAAAATCACACAATTCTGCCACAAATATAAAAATTGCAGATTTATTTGAGTTCAAAACTGTGTCTTGGGGAGTTGGTCTGATTCTACAGTATGGTCACATTAAGGATTGGGTGCTAGCTGCTGTCTTAGTTTATTTCATTATTTAAATCGAAATTAACTGAACCTTCACAATGGACTGAAAAACAAACTAATTTTTTTGTGACTACATTACATCTAGACCTGTTTATAAAACAAACCCAAGATTGGTAGATGAATGTCATTGCCAGACATTAAACTATGATTCAATACATTCCTTAGAAGATGATCATCTATGTATGTGAATAAGGACAATGTCAAGACAGAACTGAGGCAGAGTGGTCGGCTTTAATAACTGATGCTTACATGACACGAGCGTGTACAAGAATACAAAACTCACTGCAAATAGACTGGATCGTGTTGTACTGAACGCAAGGTCTTTGTCCCTTAAACCGAGGGGGAGGTACATTTTTACATCAACTATTTTTCAATTCCCAAAGTTTACAAGCTTCACACGCCAATAACATAAGAATATTTAGAAGTTTGAATCAAAAACAGGCGGTCTCAGGTTTCCTCCTGAGCCCTAAAAGAGAACACTGACAAATGAGCGTTATATACTGTACAGTACATGTTATATACACGTGATTTCATCATGAAGACAGATGATTCTTAGAATGTATAAACAGGAAGTATTAAAGCGGTGACTTTGATAAAAATATAGAATTTCACAAAAATACATAACTTTATGCTAGTGCAACATAGCTGCGTCTAGATATATGTTACTCAGTGATGACGCTCTCACATATATATACTGTACATACACACGCACACATATATGTATATATGTATATACATATATACATATACATGTATGTATATACAGCAACAGGGGCAGATCTTCCTCCTTTGCGTGCATGGGGTTTGAAAGGACAATAATAACCTAGTCTGTTTAAACCAGGGGAGGGCTATACTGTATATATGCATACCCATCTATATCTACATGTAGATATAGATGGATATAAATGCAATATTACAATCAGTTGCTAAGTTGTGGGGTTGCTCTTTTGCGTATGGCATCAAGTCCCTGAATAGAAGAGATCGGGACCAAGGGTGGATATCAAAATAAAAGCAAAAATGAACAGGAAGGCAAGTGAGAACATCATGTTGTTATATTTGGTGTTGTTAGCTATAGTGTTTATACTGTGGTACTGTTTTTACCTTTATTTGAAATATGTTTCAATGCATGGTTAGTGCTGTGTTCTTTAGGTGATACATTAAAACTGCTGTCATACATCTGACAGGAATTCTGTCGATTATCAAGTGCCGATTATCAATAAGGATATTGTATTGCACAGATTGGAGCAGATTGTCTGAGTTATCTGGAGGAGACTCCACCTGAAGACACATGACTTAACGGTGTCATTGGGCAGGACCATGGAGGACAAAGAGCAGCATCAACAGCCCAAGTGTGAGACATACAGGACTATGGCTCAGCGACAATGCCCCTGATCGCCCTAGGGGAAAAAAAGGATAAACAATTACCAATAATAAAATACTATACTGTACAGAAAAAACACTGCGTCAGTACTGTATAACCAGTCGCATAAATGATGCATTTTTAAAATAGAAATTGAATTTATAATGTTGTTTATACGTTGTGCGGCTGTATTTGTTGTTATATTGTAACCATAAAATACTGTATTCCAACTTTACAAAGTTAAAGCTCCAGTGTATTTGAAACGGTGACATCTAGTGGTAAAGTGTATACTGTAACAAATAACTTTCTTATTGATGTTTTTACTGGGGGAACAGTATGCTCTGACTTTAGCTGTAACATTAGCTGTAATCTGTACACCGTTCTCTACGCAAAAATATAGGATACTGTATAAAAACATTGTCTTTCTAAAGTATGACGACTAAAAAACAACATTTATTTTAAATGACTGTGCGTTAATACAAACATAATTATTTTGTTGCTAAATAAAAAAACTCACTTAAACTTTAGCAGACAAGATACCAGGTGTGTTTTGTTGGCAGGAAGCTAGGATCTACAAATTATACTAAAATTCTTTGGATGCAGTTTAAGTCACAGTATTTGAAGTTTTACCTCTAAAGTCCACAGGCCTGTTCTCCCAAGGGGTCAGTGCCATAGACAGAGCCGTCTTCTGGACTTCTGACAGAATATTGTACTGCTCATTAGTCACTGCAGCAGCCTGCTCATATGAGAACATGCTGATCTGTCTTTGGTTCAAGGCCACCTGGAAGAGATCAGATAACAAACAGAAACAGATATTAAAGAGAAAATGACAAAACGTATTTAAATCATCAAATGTATTTTTCACTCGTCTTTCCTCAGTTGATGAACATGCATTGATTTATATGCTACGGATTATAATAGTTATTTCGACACTTGTCTATAATTAGAAGATCTTTAATAACCTTTTCATAGAAACGCCAGTGTCCTTTTGTGGATAATTTTTCATTTAAATAGGAATAATATATTTGAAGTACTTGACGTGTAGGTGTCAAAACATATTTGTTCTTGATGGGTTTTCTTTTTTAATTTTATATATAATTTTTGACTCACGTAAAATCTTTCAGGTGGAATCCTTGAAATGGCTTCAGGTGTCATTCCCTCAATCTGCTCTCTCACCAAAGCTGACATGGCAAAATCTGTGATACCAGCTGCAGAACATAGAGAAAAGTAAAAAAAAAAATTAAAGCTAAAGTCACTTTATTACAAAACCATAGTAATCCAAACTCTTGAGCCATAAAATAAAATAAAACAAGACTGGTGTAAAACCCAGAATGCTTTGCTTTAAGGTTTTATAATGAATGTATGAATGCGTCGTACCTGCCAGAACACCAATCTCAATGAAAACGCCAGTCCCCCATGAACTTATGGGTCCAAAAGCAAGGGGGTGTGTCAGCAGCCTGACAAAAACTTCCAGCTGCTCCTCAGAGCACGCGAGCTGCAGCTGACCCAGAAAGAGCGCTGCCTTACTGTAGCCACCAGGAGGAGACAAAGATAAGAGTTTGTGCAAATATTAAATCAATGGTCAAGAATAAATTAGCGAGATAGAGTGAAAAGTAGACGTTATTGGTTAACCTGAATTCCACAGCATTCAGGGAGCTCAGGTTTGTGCTTTTAGCTCCACACAAGATGTGTCCCATTGCCACCAGTGTGCTGGAGTCCAGCTGAATGGGAGTCTGTTTGGTGGAGTTGAACACTCGGCTGGAGAGCACTGCCAGCTGGGAGGGATACAAGGGTTTGGATAATGACTTTTTCTTACTCACAGGTTTCACTAAAATGTAATCATACTGTATAATCAATACAGCACTGCCACAGGTCAGACCTTCGTTAAAAACTAGTTCATACTGTTTTGATGTATAGTTTTTCAGAGAGGGTAAAAATACTTGGTTAATCAGACAATTGTTAAAATATTTAAAATTTATAAAATGTTTTCTTTAAAAAAAAAAAAACGAATGAGAGCCCAAGCTTTCATCACATGACATAGTAAACAGACAACAAGGTATAAGAATGTCCTTGTCCTAGCCGTAGAGGTTTTTTTTTTTCTTTTATTTGTAGTCCTAGTAGTTCCTATGTCCAGTGCAATATAAACCACAACATTATACAACATGGTACCTGCACCATCTCTTCCTGTGGCTCCTTGGTCTAAACATCACTGAAAACCTTGTCTTAGTAAGGATACAGTTTTAATTACGTTTAATTATCCTGTAAGATCTTTTGTCTGTTTTTTCTCTGTGTTGTTGAGTTCCAGTACCACAAGAAATAAGGCCTTCACTAAATATTAAGATACAAAAATGTCCAAATATTTAAACAAACCTAAACAAAAGTCAAATAATAAATAATAAAATAATTTGTTTCTTCATATCCTGAAGAACAGTTACCTGTTTCTGGCTCCAGCCTTGGACAGCACCCAGAGCAGCAATGCTCCTCCTCTCTACCAAGTGGAGGCTGCTGAGCTCTTCTTCTGTCATTTCTTTAGCCAGTGCACCCAGCTGAGAGATTACAGGCTGAGAGAAGGAGAAGACTGGGCCAAATATCTTCGATCCATAATGAGAGAGCAGAGACATGGAGCAGTGTTACACTCAGACTGCCCTGAGAGGCGTCTGTGTATTCCAAAGGACAAACACAGTCATACCTTCTTGACTTTGTTAAGCAACTGGCTACGTTGGTAGTTTGCAATGTATGGGTCACGACCCATAAGTTCCAGACAGTTGTAGAAGTCCACAGACGACATGCTGAGCAGACTGCTGGGAGTCCAGGCGGCAGGAGGTATGGAGTGCATGACCGCACAGGAGGGAATGAAGGGACTCCACGCTAAAGAAGATGGAAACACATATCTGATGAGACCTTGGTTCTGTTATCGTCATTATAACCTATTAAACACGTCACATTTGGCTCAGCTTTCAATACGATCCAGGCAACGGCCATCACTGGCAGTGGTTGTCAGCCTGCTTCCTATTGGACAATCCTAAACAGTGTCCAGTCCTTTAACTTAATCACCTTTACAAAGAATGGTCAGAAAAGATTTGAAGAAATTACATTCAAATAAAGGTTCCTTAAATACCTAGGTTCTTTAGAAACCAGTGGAAGGCCCGTAGGTTTCTAAAGAACCAGCCTTTTCTGAAGATTGACATTCACATTGAATCTTTCTATTTCTTATATTTAGTCTTTGAAACAGACAGGTATTTTAATCTATTCAGAGCATAGTAAAAAGACACGGAGGAGGATGGGAGAGTACTGCAGTGAGATGTCCTCTCAGGTTGCACTAAGCAATCTCACCTTTAGATGTCACTATTCGCCATCAGAGAATATGAGCGTTTGTCAAAAAGTTCAAGGACAAACTAAAATACAACCTTTATTCATGGCCGTTATAAATCTGCAGCCTTCAACTTCGACTTTAAGCACTGAAACTGAAAAAACATCTGAAATGTTTTTTTCAGTTTGAGGAAAAACAAAATCAGATGGCTCATAGATCGAAACCTGTTGCCATGATTCGAACGGGTTCTATTTAAAGTTTGGTTAAAATACAAGTTTACAAAAATAAATCAAACCACAAACAGATGAGAAAACCTATCAAAGCTGTGGGAGGAATCTTTTCTGTCTGTCTTAGCACTGCTGAGGATTCACTTGCTGTTACATTCAACCTGGTTTTTTACAAGTTTTTACACTGAGGAATCGCAGTGATGCTTACAGGAGTGAGGATCTATTTTAAGGTATCCCAGGAAAAACTGAAGAACAAACTGCTGCCGCTGAAAGAAACTGATCCTCTCGTCCTCGGTCAAACAGTTGGCTCCCACGTCCCCACTTTCCCAGTGACGCTGCTTAATAAAAAGCTTCTCCAAGTATCCCAGAGGCACCAGATCCTGAGGGAAAACACAAGGACAGGTACACGTACACACTGAGGATCCAGACCTCACCCTCATCTGACAACCACTGGAGACACCGATGATTGAACGGTCTAGTCTCAAGGTTAATGGAGACACAGACCAGTGTGGTCACAACGGAAGTGTACTCACCAGAGAAATGTCCTGCAGACTGGTGTCAGAGAGGAAGAAGAGGAACCTGTCCACTTGAAGCACAGTGGAATAGTTCCATTTCTTGGTTGGACTAGAGAGAAGCACATGATCATTTTATCATCCGTTCTCATTGTTGCTATGTAAAACATTACCAATAATATTTTTTTCCACCAAAATACAGGCAATTAAGTACCTTTCTATTTGGAAATAAATGTCCTAATATTTTAGTCTATTTGGAAATAAATGTCCTAATATTATGAATAATGAATAATGAATTTCTCATGTTCATCAATGTCACTGTAAATACTTTTACTCATTTACAAAGTGAGCAGTGATTAGTGGTAACTTGGCAGCTGGTGGACTCCAACCTGATCCCTTCCAGATCCAAGTCCACATCCTTAACCACTAATCCACCACGATGTTGGTAAATAAATAGAGCTACTTCTTCCCCGTTGAATAGATATTCTACATAACCTCACATGTTACAGTGGGGTTATACAGATTCACAGTACGGTGTCACAGTGGCAGAACAAAAACTCAAACGTTCTAGACAGTGATCTTACCCGAACACAACAGGCTCCTGCAGTATGGCAGCCACCAGGCTCATCTTGCTCCTGGTGTAGCAGAGTCCCAAAAGAAAAGGAAGTTTGGCTAAGAAGAAGCTGCGGTCGATCTGACTGAAGACCTCATCTGCCACGAACGGTGCCATGATGCCCAGTGACTGAAACTCCTCGCCGGTGAATGGGCCTGTGTTCATGTTCTGTTGAAGAAAGGAACCCCAGTTCATCTGACTCTGCACTTCAGTCATTTGGTTTTTTATTCTCTTTAAATCCACCAACAGAACCACTGACCATCCTCTCCACCATTTTGTCCACCAGCAGAGTCTGCTTCGATCTCGGCAGCAGGAGAAAATGATGTGGCTCCTGGATGATGGTCTTCCTCAGGATGTCCATATCAGCTTTGGTGAACTTGGTTATGACGCTCAACCTATGAGGAACCACACCAACAAACCAGAGTAGGTAACAGACATATTACTTACTATAAATCACTGTTAAAACTGGGAATAAAAATCTCCCACATAAACAGACGTTTCTGAAATACTCTCAGTGAGATACACCATACAGTGGTGAGACTGTGGTCGTAACTTACGGCATTGACAGAGAAATCTCAGCGCTGAGATATCTCAGCAGCTGAGAGAAGAAGGGGAGCTGGTACAGTTCCTCGATGACACACTTTTTCTGTTGGAAACAAATACATTCACATCAGTTCAGTGTAACGATGAACATGTGTAAGTGTCTCAAAGTTTGTTCAACTGATTGATTGAAGTCCTTTATTCATCCCTCAATGGGGAAATTCACACAGGCTGCCACAGGAGGCGCCATTAAGTATATGGTTCCTCTGGACCTTGAACCTACGACCTTCTGCGTGTAAGGCAGATGTGTAAGGCAGGCATGCTAACCGCTACACGGAACCACTGAACACTGTGGTTCCACAGTGTAGTGGTTAACATGCCTGCCTTACACTCCTGTCCTCCCGGGTCACGTTATCCCTCCTGACCCAGAGATTTCCAACAAAAACAGAGCCAGTACTTCACACGTCTCAGCTTTCAGGGTCTTAAAAAGACTTGGCTGAGTGTGGAAGCGAAGCGTAATCAGAGCACAATCTATGCATTTTTAAAAGAAAAAGGAGAAGAGTGAGGATACAGCTCAAACACAGGAGTGACCTTACCAGAGAGATGTGAAGAGGACGGGTCTGTTGTTGGAGGAAAATCAGGACTTTTCGGACTCCACTAAGAGAAGTGTCGTCCTGAAGGTATTCCTTCAACATCTGGCAGCTCAGGCCCTGACCCAGGGTTCCCAGTTTTCTGATGACATAAAGGAAAACGTCCCAGGATATAATGATGATAAATGGAGTCATTTGACCTTTGTATTTGTTGTACATGTTGGAACTAGTTCAATACTTACAAAATATTTTCCTTGATCAGGTTTGGATGGATGTCTAAGGCTTTAGTGAAAATGTCTTTAGCCTGTGGAGGAAAATAACAAAGGAGGCTGGTTATGTTGTTTGAATAATCAAGATGCTCTTGTACCACGTGGAACACTCCACATCAGTAGAACTGTGAAGTTTATCATAATAATAATAATTACATTTTAATATCATTTAATCAATAAAAGTTAAATGCCTGACATTGAACAACTTAACTAATTAAATCACTGCATTCATAATTATTTATTTATCTTGGCACAGAATCCAGATGTTATGTTTTTATATGACTTTCCTAAAGTCCAAAAATTACCACGTGGAAACACCTGTTTTTACAGGAAACAAAACAACGTCAAAGTATTTGCTTTCTTAACTCTTATCTCCTTGAAGTAACACAGGACAAAACGTTAGGTTAAAAATAACAATTTCAATCATTAAAGAAATAGCTGTGTGTCACCTGCTGTGTGTTGAAGGGATTTGTGGTAATGTTCTGTGTCATGTTCACAAGCACGGGGATCCTGGGCAGGACACTCATCAGGGGGGTGCAATAGAGCAGGGGATCCACGTCGTTGTTGTCCAACCATGTGACCACTTGTGGGTAGCCCTGCCCAGAGAAGTGCAAAAAGGACATTTTTTATAGCCCTGCCCAGAGAAGTGCAAAAAGGAAACTAAAATCAGCATTATTGTTCTGAAGAGCACCAGATTTTATTGAGAATTGAACAGAAGACCATGATGATGGTGATTGTAAAAAAAATGTTGAAGAATCAATGAGGATTTTAAAGCAAAAATTAAATTAAAATTAAAGACAACAAAGTAACCCTATCTATAGCACAATACTTATTCATTTATTTCTGTGTAACATTGCGACAAAGATGTCACAGACTTTCACACATTTACCCATAGTTTGGTTGCAATGGCGATGGCCTGTGGCGGGCTGCGACAGGGTGAGTGATGGGCAAGACTGGGCAGGAACTGCAGCAGCTGGCCAGACGTGAGCTTCAGTAACTCCTCTGCCTGCATCCCAGCAGTGAGGGAACCAAGATTCTCCAGTTTGTCTGCAGCAGTCAGCTGGACGGGAAACAAAAAGGACGTTAGGGCTGTCCAACACAAAGGGATTGATTGTATAATCAGTAGACATTATATTTGAGAAGGTGTTTGGACAGGAAAACTCACTCTGGTGACTGAAGACAGTTTGTCCACGATCACAGAAGCCTGTAAACATGGAACATGACAGAAGAGTGAACGGGAAGTCAGCTGACCAAATGATGAATGTCTGATAATCCAGACAGTGTCACTGTTACTCTGTTGACTTGCTGCGGCATTAATCCATGAAGTTGAGAATTGAATTCTCAGATAACTAGATATTTATCTGAACTTTTACACTTTAACAGTTACATCCTCTTCAGTTGTTGCTCCTAATTTCTTGGCTCCATTGTGCCTATATTCTGTTAATTATTTGTGAAAGCCTTCGAAGTAAATTCACATTTGCCTTGAACGAGACAACATGAAAGAAACTGCAAAGATCCTTGGCTCTGTGCGTCTTCATCTACATCATGACCGCCCTCTGGGGAAAGTCTTTTCCACATGACAGGACAGAGAATCCAGACAACTTGTGAGTATAAGGAGCTCACTTTCAGATAACAGCTGTTATCTGACAGAGGAGACTCCAGATATGAGGACTGGCTAAAGATCTGCTCTTTGACCTTACAAACCACCCTCCCCTCTGTGGTCAGTCTTGTGGAGAGCCACAGCCTGACAGCTGTTCCTCTGTAGCTCCAAGCTGCCACAAGGCTGGACCATGGATTACTAATAACCGTCTGTGAAGCCAAACGAACCACCCACACAAAAAGTCCAGTGTAGGACCTTTATCCAAGGAGCAGTTTGTGAGAAATGTTAGAGTGGTATTACTGTTGTGTTACAGTGTTTAAGTAGAAAATAGACTTGATATGCTAGAGGGTTGTATTTTGTATTTGTAGCCGAGAGGCTAATTTTCCATTAGCAGTCGCCCTGCCAAAAGGAGTACGGCAATGTAGCATGGTAGCCACAAGCTATCAATGACAGCTGTCATGTATGAAATTATGATGTGAATAAGGAGTTCTATTCAAGCTGTATAGGCTCGGCCTTTAACAGTTACCTGTACGGGGCTGAAGGAAACGTTGCCGAGAGCAGGAAGGACGTTGAGCAACTGTGTCGGTGTGAGACCCTGCAGAAATGTCACACCCATCAAGGGCAGGAGGTGGAGAATGGCCTCCAGCCAGTTCCGGCTGGGCGACGCCGGGACTTTGAATTCCATATCGTTCAGTAACAAAGTAGCAACCTACACAAAGACAGAGGCGGTTAATACTGGAATCCCAGGTGTTACGGGGTAAATGGTTTGTGAACTTTGATGTTTTCATCTACCAGGTGCTTAGAGATGTCAAGTCCCTTGCGTGTGCAGTTCAGGACCAGCTCCTGAATCACACTGTAGGCCTCAGTGTCTTTGTAAGAGAGCAGGTCCTTTGGATCAGCCAAGCACGTGAGTTCACCCAACCTGAAAATATAAAACAAGAAGACATCATCTCTGGATACCCTTACCACTACTGTTATCCACTCCAATACTTTTTCAGATACTTACGTAATATACGTTTTATAAATAAACAAAAAAAAATCTAACATTATTCACTGTGCAACTCTAAGCAGACACTAGCACAGGCATGGGCAAACTAAGGCCCGGGGGCCAGATGCGGCCCGTTCAGCTTATTAATCCGGCCCACCAAACTTTTCAAACTTGTATAATTTATTTATATTATCATTATACTTCTGCCTTTTCCCTGCAATACCCATGTATCTCCAATAGGTGGTGTAGAAAATGATAAAAGCATCAAAAGGAATCGTAGCTCCCAGGCAAGAATAGTTTGGACACTGTCTATAGTTATCATCATGGCAAAGTAAAAAGTTAGACTGCTGTCCTACATTTTTAGTTTCTTATAATTAGTATATGGACAATAAACTGGTTTGTCAGGTTATGGGAAACATAAACGTAAAGATTCTAAGTACATATGG